TTCAACGAGCCGTGCCATTCTCTGAAAATGAGTACTACAAAAAAGAAATCTCCGAGAAAGCTGAGGTATTGAAACGAATTTCATAGACTTTCTGCTCAAAAACAGCTAAACACACCCTTTCTGGTAAACTGGATTTAAAAACCGTATGCCAAATGGCTTCAAAAGTGGCGTGAGAAGAGCGCACAAATAAGTCTGTATAAAAGGGAACTTTCAGCACGCCAGAAAGAGTATGTTTACACATATTTTTGAGTAAAAAGTACACAAAAGAGATCTTTTGAGCATTTCTCTTCAGTTATTCACGATTTCCGCGGGAAAAGCTGACTATTTCGATGCAATTGTTGAAGAGGTTCGATTTTTAACGCCAAAAATTTTTAAATCTACATTTTTAGGGTGAATCTCTAGAATGGATTATCGATGCCGATGGGAATTTTGCTTTTTGCATTTTCAAAGTCGACAATGATCATTTGAAAGCATCAGTGGACACTTTGGAAAGGATTTATCCAAAGTTTTCGGTCAGTAAAGCATTATATTGGGTTGGTGAGTTGAAAAAAGGTTATTAAAGAGTTATTAAACAGTTATTAAACAGTTATTAAAGAGTTATTAAACAAGATTTCGGAAAGATTTGAGATTTAAAATGAACAATAGTTAATTTAAATGTCTTCAAAGTTGGTGAATTGGTGAATTGAAAATTGCGGGACTTTGAACTAAAATTCATTCAATATAAAACCATCAATTCATTCAATATAAAACCATCAATTCATTCCAAATAATTCCCCATTATTATTGACGACTTCTGCCCATTTTACAGGCAATTTGCGGATTCCTCTTTCGTGGTAGGCTTTTGGTTTGTGTGTGAGACAAAAATGGAGGACTGGAGATGTCCCAGTGTCCCAGTTTGAGCACTTTCTTCAAAAGAAACCCATTTTGGTGTCAATGGGAAAGTTGTAGAGAATCAAAAATTAGGCTTATAGCCAAATTTCCAAACAGATACACTTGGCTGGAAGTTGCTGCTTTCAAATGCGCGTTACTCTCCCGCTTTCGCGGCGTCAGATTACTCTTTCGATCGCTGAAAAAGTTTCTTATCAGAGAAAGGTTCAATGATCATGTTCAAATCAAAAGAAATCCCTAATTTTTCACAAAAGAGATTTGAAGGGAAGATGGGGGGAAAAAAGTGATAAAAAGTGATAAAAAAGCGATAAAAATGGAGAATCTCTTATTGATTTCTATAGAATACTATAAATTATTAGCATCCAAAAAGCTCATAATTTTTTTTTGTTTCTCAATTTAATCTTATGAAATGAAAATGAAATGAATTAAGAATTAGATTCTAGGGGTTTATTGTTGTCATGCAATTGTCATTTTATCCATTCATCAGTTTCCTATAAATGTAATTGTCATTTTATCCATTCAGAAAGTGCCTGGTCCAACGATTGTCCCACTCATCGATTCGATCAAAAACCCTAAGCCAGGTAAACTTAAAAACATTACTAAACCTTTTGCACTATAGTACTATAGTACATATAGTACTATAGTACATATAGTACTATAGTACTATAGTACTATGATAGCACTATAGTACTATCAGTTTCCTATACTTTGTGCTCTTGTAAACAAATCTTTTCTAGTGCACTTATGCTTTAAGAAATCATTACATTAAAAGGAACATTACTTCTAGAAAAATGAAGATTTCAGTGCACTAGAAAGGATGGCTTCAGTGCACTAGAAAGGATGGGTTTAACGGTGAGCACAAAGTGCACTTTAGTTTGTACTCTACAAGTAAGTTTTCCTCGTAAACGCATCCCTTTCTAGCGCACTATCTAGCATTTGAGTGGTCAATTGAGTGCACCAGAAAGCGTGTGTTTCCTCATCTTAAACTACACACTTTTCAGGTCGTTACCGTTTCTGGTTTTCCAACGAGCACGCGTGGTTTCATACGCTCAAAATTCGAGCTGAAATTTCCCCGAAAAGGGTTCAAAAGTAAAGTAAATGTTTTCTTTTTGAATAAATCTATTACCAAAAAATCCATTACATTACTTTATCAAGAAATTAAGCTTTAAAATCAAGTGGAGCTTGTTTAAAACGTTAAAATGGGGGGGGTGAGACAAATGCGACCTTTTTTTTGCGCACCTCGACATTTGCGCACCTTTTTTTTTGCTGGAAAAGGCCTTAGGCAAGGCCGTAGAGCTTCAAAAATGTTTTCATATAAGGGAATCGTATGCGTAGATTCCGAATTTCGACAAATCAGGCCTCGCTGACACGTCAAATTTGGGCTAAAAGGCAAAAACTACGCAACTTAACGCTTTTCCGCAGTTTCCGCTTTTCCCCAAATTTGACGTGTCAGCGAGGTCTGATTTGTCGAAATTCGGAATCTACGCATACGATTCCCTTCTATGAAAACATTTTTGAAGCTCTACGACCTTTCCTAAGGCCTTTTCCAGCAAAAAAAAGGTGCGCAAATGTCCAGGTGCGCAAAAAAAAAAAAGGTCGCATTTGTCCCACCCTCAGAAATTAAGCTTTAAAATCAAGTGGATCTTGTTTAAAACGTTAAAATGTCTTTAAGATTGTCTGATAGGGCAATTTGATCAAGTGAATTTGAAACTGATAAGTTTTTTAGCTGACTTTTTAGCTGACTTTTTAGCTGACTTTTTAGTTGACTTTTTAGCTGACAAATAGTCAGCTAAAAAAAGCTAAGCTGAATTTCTATTACAAAAATCCATTACATTACTTTATCATTATCAAAAAGTTTACAGAAAATCATCAAAATCATCAAAATCATGATAAAAGATTAAAATAAATCATAAAATCATAAATCAAAAGTTTTTTTTTTCGATTTAAAAGAGACACCCGTTTTAATCAAAATTTGGTACAAATGAACGGAAAAAGAAAGAAAAAAGAAAAGAAAAGAAAAGAAAGGAAAAGAAAGGAAAAGAAAAGAAAATAAAATAAAAGAAAATAAAAGAAAAGAAAAGAAAGGAAAAAGAAAGAAAGAAAGAAAATTTCTGAGAAAACATTGTTAACAAATTGAAATCAATATAGAGAACATTGAAAAAGAAAAGAGAAAAGCAATTTATAAGTTTGAAAAGTTACAGAGAAGTTACAGAGAAATTTGAGTCCTAAAATTGGAAAGGAAATTTAAAAGGCTTGTTTTTTTTGTTTAAAATTCAACAAATAATAAATGTTTTCGGGTTATGCTTTTAGAGAATTATCAGATTTTTCTATTAAGTAGACGGTAGATGGATTCCCTGTTGATTAAAAGATCCCTTAAAAGATATTTAAGTCTAAGCCTTATCTTCCTTTCTCTTTCCTCTTTCTCGCAAGAAGATACCGGATAGAGGATCTATCTACAACTAAAAAAGATCTCATTCAATCCCCCTCAGTGAAAAGCTATCCTCTCTTGACTTTAGAAAGGTCTATTATTGAATCTTTTGACATTGATGTCCAATGTCAGTCCAATGAGAATTGATGATTGAATGCTAAGCAGTGCTCCACGCCTACCGTATCCATTACTTGTCTGGCTTTAGAGAATTATCATACTTATCTATCAGGTAGACGGTAGACGGTTAAAAGATTGATTAAAAGATTAAAAGATTAAAAGATCCCTTAAAAGATATGTACGTCTAAGCCTTATCTTCCTTTCTCTTTCCTCTTTTATTTCCTCTTTCTCGCAAGAAGCTACTGGATAGCTCAGTGGTTAGAGCATAACCCTAAAACAAAGATCTATTGGGTTGGGGAGAATGAGTCGGCGCCGAAAATCAAAAAAATGTCTAAAACTTCTATTCGACTTCGTCAAATAATATTCGTTTGATATGAGTAGAATGGTTAACGAATTCTCTACAAAATCACATTTAAAAGAAAATTCAAACAGCGCCTCCGCTCAAGAAAAAGCCATTTTTTCACAAAAACTACAAACTGTGATCTAGAAAAAACCATTGGTGGGATCTTCCTGCAAATTTGGCAACTTAAGTAATTGAATGTGCTCTATCTTTTTTATATAAACACCAAAGAAGGTTTATGTGAAAGAAACTGTTCAAATGATGAGTCGGACTCTTTGCCATTTTAACCAGCTGCGTTTCGAAGTTCATAAACTCCACGAAAGAAAAGCTTTGTGGAATCTCTCAAAAGTCATTTTGTAGAGAAATAGTGGATCCTTTTGATGAAACCAAACGTATGTTTAAAGAAGGCTTTATGTGTGCAAAAAGTCCCTTTAAAGTTTGGCGCCGACCCATTCTCCCCAACCCAATACAACTAAAAAGATCTGATTCAATCCCCTCTCCCAGTAAAAATCTATCCTCTCTTGACTTTAGAAAGGTCTATTATTGAATCTTTTGACATTGATGTCCAATGCCAGTCCAATAAGAATTGATGATTGAATGCTAAGCCTTGAAGATAATGCTTAGACTTACAGATCTTTTAAGGGATCTTTTAATCAATAGGAATCCGCTAAGCCGTGCTCCACGCCTACCGTACCCATTACTTGTCTCTTCTACTTGAGAAATTTATTTCCTTCAACTTTTGCATTCAATCTTACTCTTGCAACTTAACTTATCCTTTTGTTTTTGTTTAATAAACTTCTAAATGATTTTTTTAAACGGTGAGCACTACGGAGAGATTCATTTTTTATAGTGTGCTTAAAAAGAATAGCCAATTCTTACCGAAGCTTTGATAAACTGGCCAAAAAGTAGATCAGAAGCAGGGGACAGCTAAAAGCCGCTTTAGTCGCTAAAAGCCACAGAGATACGGTAATATTGGGTATAGAAAAGTCTGTATTTAGTCAAAAGCTATTGCACATAACTTTTGACTAAATGCAGACTTTTCTATACCCAATAGATACATTAGCTTTCGCTAGGGGAATCTTAGAAAATTTAATTAAGATTCTACTACAAGAGCTTTTTCTTTAACATAGAATTGGAAGACCTCAGTGCTCCAGAAAGGATACATTTCTAGTTCAAAGTACACAGCCTTTACACTTCCTTTCTCTTGATTTTTTTGTCAATCTCTTAATCAACAGGCGGAAAGGCCTCATGAAATGAATCGGTTTTCGTTGTTGTCGAGCATTGTGACTGTGATGGGACAACGCCAGTCGATTGAGCTGTTGGAGAGGAGGGTAAACGCATATTGACAATTGATGGCAATTCGGGAATTGATTCCAATTGATTGTAGTCGGGTGGTGGAGGATAGGGTGGAGGGGCTTGCACACCGGCTAGACCCTGGAATGGAGAGTGATTAGAAAGATGAGTCTTGATAAATTTATGGATATTTGGGTCCAAGCTTGCTTTCTGTCAGCTTAGGGACCTTTGGACCTATCGAAAAATCAAAAATCCAAGCTGAGAAAAAGAAAAAGCTTTAAATTGTCGGCAAAAAAGGGCTGACAGATCTTTTCGTTACAAATCTAATTAGGCCAAATGCTAGGTAGAGTCTGATTTCATGGTTCGGCCTGGTCAAAGCCTAGACTGGCTTCGACCAGGCTACTGGCTTCGACCAGGCTACTGGCTTCGATCAGGCTACTGGCTTCGATCAGGCTACTGTCTGAAGCCAGCTCCAGACTTCTGGCTTCTGTCTGAAGCCAAATCCAGGCTTGGTTTGTTCTTGACTTTGACTGGTTGGCCTAGTCAAAGCTTGAGGTCTAGACCTGGCTTCTGGATTGATCAAGAACCATGTGAGCCTTCCCCAGCCTTGCATTGACCCTGTTGATTAGATTTCTAGCTATTAAACGTTGTTGAATGTATCTATTAACCTGAAATAACCGTGGATCCCTATTCGCCCCGCCGGTCGGTCCATCATTGTACGGTGGTACATACATTGGATAACAACCCGATGTGTTTGTTGAAAGGACACCAGCATAGTAACCTAAAGAAAACCATAAAGAAAGCCATAAAGAAAATCATAAAGGAAACCATAAAGGAAACTTTGAAATTTCAAATTTAGAATCAAAATTCTTGTTTTCAAAAGCTTTACTAGAGTTGAGATATTTAAAAGTTTGAGCTACAGTGATAAGCAAAAAAAGAAATACCGATTTCGATCGATTTCTAGCTTTCCCCTTCTAGCTTCTAGATTTCTCCAAAACCAGCGTAACAAATTGTTGTCACCCATGCTGTATTTTACTTCTATTTTATAGATATAACAAATAGAAACTCTAACAACTTACTGAAAATTTTAATTTTTTAAATAAGCCAAAACAGGCGCACAAAGATGCCAGATTTTAATTTTAATTTTAATTTTAATTTTCTCCGCTTTACTCGTTTTCCAGTGTATTTTCATTTAATTCGATTTCGATTTTTTTATTTTAGAATGGTTCAACGACAGCTATCAACGCCAGAGAAAGAAAATATTGTGGAAGCAAAGACAAATGAAATGGAAGAAGGTGGCCGAGCTGTTCATATGTGATTCAAAGACCGTTTCGCGCATTGTTTCAAAGAAAATGACCGGAAATGGACGTCCACCAGTCACAGCGTCAAGCAAAGATAAGGCACTTGCGTTGGCGTAAAAGCTTGAGGATATTAGATTAGATTAGGTATTAGATCATCACGCGATATTAGATTAGGTTAGATATTAGATTAGGTTAGATATTAGATTAGACTAGATATTAGATTAGACTAGATATTAGATTAGATTAGATATTAGATTAGATATTAGATCATCACACGATATTAGATTTTTATTTTTTATTTTAGAATGCTCGACAGCTATCAACGCAAGAGAAAGAAAAGATTGTGGAAGCAAAGAAAAATTAAATGGAAGATGGTGACCGAGCTGTTCAAATGTGATAAGGGAACCGTTTCGCGCATTGTTTCAAAGAAGAAAACGACACGAAATGAACGTCCACCAGTCACGATGTCAAAAAAAGATAAGGCACTTGTGTTGGCGTAAAAGCTCGACGATATTATTGGGTTGATGCATAATTATCCGGACTTCTTTTATAAATGATTTTATTTAACAAAAAATAACATAAATAGTTAGAAAAATATGTTTAATTGATTATTCTGGAGCATATTCACCGCCTACATCAATAACTGATTGCCATTTGCTTGGAAGACGATCGATTCCACGAGCGAAGAATAAACGATCTTTGGAGGCAATCCACGCTTTAACATCGTCTATCAAGTCATCCAAATCGTTGTAGATCTTATTTGTTTGCCAATTTTTGAGCGATCGATTGACGTGGTAGTCCGTTGGGGCTTCAGTAGGAGAATATGGCGGGTGTGGAAGAAGATCCCAGCCCTTACTAGCGATGGATTCGACGACATGGCGCTCAACGTGCGGACGTGCGTTATCGTGGTGAAAGACGATGTTGTTCTTATGGATATGATTGTCGACACGCATTTTGTTCACTAAAGAATAACGAATATTTAAAAAAAAGAAATAGACAAAAAGCTTTCAAAACAAAAAAGATACAAGCACGCAAAAAAGAAGTCCGGATAATTATGCATCAACCCAATAGATTAGATTAGATATTAGATCATCATTGTCATCATGTGGCATTTTTATATATTATTTTGAGACCCCCATATTTGTTGAAACATTAATTAAAATAAAGTTAATTAAAATCTTGAAACTTTAACTCTTTTATAAAAAAGTAGAAGTTTTTTTGCTATCTTTTGAAATCATAGAATTTGGAAAACGTTTAGTTAGTCAAAATTTGTCATTCAGTTAGTCAGTTAGACAAATTTTGTAAATGCGATGTGGCATTTTTGAAATCACTCCATTTGACATCACTTTGACATCACTTTGACATCACTTTGACATCCTAAGTCCTAAAGAGCCTTTTAGCCTTGAGTACTTGTACGGATTTTAGTCGTTCATTACCATTTTTTTGATATATCAACTCACCAGGTGGTTCGGGTGTATTCCCATTCGCTCCTCTCCTTTGTACGTGTCCTCCATTCCCTTGTCCATCGTGTTCATCAACCGATACACTTGATTGTGCGGCTCTTGGCATAGCGTGAGATCTTCTCCCGCCCAACCACAACCAAATTCTCGAATCACCAGTGCCGCCGCTCCCAGAAGCCAGTCTGAAAATGAACTTGGCTTTCATCGTTCATTCGATTTCATTCTTCATTCTTCATTGTATTGTATCATTGTATTGTCATTGTCATTCTCATTGTCTTCATTGTATCATTCGACTCTACACTCGTTAACAAGCTATCATTAAAAACATTAACAACATTAACAACTTGTGTCTTTTACTTTACGAGAAGCTATTTGAGTCAGTCTTTTTCTTTTGATTAAAAGATTCGTTATTGAAAAGTTACCGTAAGGTTGATGGCTTTTGATGAAACTGCCGTAAAAGTGTCGTTCTATTATAGTTTTTACGGTAAGTAAAGTCAAATTTTAGCTGCTGATCTTCATTTTCTATGTTTAAAGAGAAAAGAGTTAAATTTTGAAAAAACAGTCAAAGTACAGCAAGTTTTTAGTTCTTAAGTTTATCCAATTTCAAATTTTCAATTTATGCCAAGATTTTAAAGCCAAGCTAAGTCAAACCCTTTTAGCTTAGCATAAATATTATTGATGATGTTTAAAGAAAAGAGATTGAGCTTGAAACTAGGATCATTTTTGATCAGCTTTACCTTGACCAGACTTGGCTGGCTTTCCCTTAAACCTGAATATATTAGTTGTAATTGTTGTTATTGTTGTTATTGTTGTTGTTGTTGTTATCATTGTTGTTGTCATTGTTGTTGTTATTGTTATTTTTCTAAACCTTTTCTCACCTGCACGATAGGCATATCCTCGTAATCATGGCAATGCAAGCGAAAAAAGCGAGCGCGAGAAATGGCACATAAACGAAGAAGGGCACATCGGACAGATCGAACATACCCCTCACTTGACATACCCGTTTTGGTGATGATGTGGGAAAGGAATCTGATGATATTGATCGAGTGCTTGGGGGACAATCTGAAATGGAAAGGAGATGAATGGAGATGAATGGAGATGAATGGAGGTGAATGGAGAATGAAAAGCCTTTAGCTTATTGGAAAAAATAGCAAATCGGAGTCGCTTTATTAGATGAATGAAGAAAAATGCAAATTGTAAATGCTAGAGGAGGAAACAAAACAAAACTAGTATGGGGTGCATGTATGGGAATGCTTGGACGATGAATCTTTTAAGAAATTAAGCTTTAAAATCAAGTGGATCTTGTTTAAAACGTTAAAATGTCTTTAAGATTGTCTGATAGGGCAATTTGATCAAGTGAATTTGAAACTGATCACTTTTTTAGCTGACTTTTTAGCTGACTATTTAGCTGACGTTTTAGCTGACTATTTATACGGTTCCAATATGGTTCCAATACGGTTCCAATACGGTTCTAATACGGTTCCAATACGGTTCCAATACGGTTCTAATACGGTTCCAATACGGTTCCAATACGGTTCTAATACGGTTCTAATACGGTTCCAATACGGTTCTAATACGGTTCCAATACGGTTCCAATATGGTTCCAATACGGTTCCAATACGGTTCTAATACGGTTCCAATACGGTTCCAATATGGTTCCAATACGGTTCTAATACGGTTCCAATATGGTTCCAATACGATTCTTTTTAGATCCAATACGGTTCTTTTTAGATCCAATACGGTTCGATCCAATACGGTTCGAATAAAAACTTAATCTTCTCAAGTAATTAAGCTTAAGAGAATTCTAAACGTTCAAAATTCGACTTTCCAACTTCGTCAATACTCTAGCAAGTCTTAAAAAAACAAATGAAATCAAAAATATTGAATCCAAATTGAATCCATTTAAAGATCACGTTTTCTTTTTTCAGTTTTGAGTTGAAAAGAGCGAAACTTTTTTTGATTTGAGAACAAGCTTCGTGGGAAAAGTTTCAAGGATTCAAAACTTTTGAAATCAAAAATGTTATCGAATTATGAAACTTGAAAATTTTACTTGCTTTAAATTATTTTCAAGTGTTTTCAAAGCCTTATTCATTTTTTTTTATAAGAGGAAGTCTTTTGGATCGAAGTAGAGCAAAAAAAACCAATCTTAAACTTAAGAAAAGGGAAAAAACACACGCGTGAACGCTTTCCCCAAAACTCTCTTCCGGACACAATTTTATTGAAAAAAAAGAAGGAAACGGGGAAAAATGCGTTTATAAAAAGTAAATAAAAGAATTGATTGGATTTAGATTGATTTTAGTTTTGAATAGAAAAAGTTATGGCAGTTATGTAATTGTAGTGGGGAAAAGAAAATGTACAAATGTAGAAATGTACGATTTGACGTCGATTTGACGTGTAAATGTACTGCTTTTTCGTCCACCAACTCGCAAAGGTATTTTTGGCGTACAGTCGCGTAGTCTTCACCAAAATATCGAAGTTTTTATAACAATAATATTGTTAACAAGGGTAAAACTCAAATTTCAAAAATTCCTCCGTCAGCCGCGACGCACGCTTCAAAACGTGGACGCAAAACGTCAACTGTGGCACGCAAGTAGGCAACATCAAGCTCGTTCCATGCTTTAAGGAGCGCTTTCTTTAACGAGTCAACTGTTCGATGTGGTTTAGCACACGCTTTAGCTTCTAAGATTGACCAGACTGAAAAATCAAGCGAAGTAAGATCGAGCTTGAGATGAAATCGGATAAATTCTGCTCACACCAATCCTGGACCATTCGAGATTTGTGAGCCGGTGCTCCATATTGCTGAAATATCCAGCTACGTTGTCCAAAATGAGATTGAGTCCAGGGCAAAACGTCGCAAAATGAAGTGTCGTAAAATCTTGTCGCAAAATGAAGATGCTTGACTGTTGACCTTGATTCCTGATGACTCGAAGACAATTCTTTCCATCGCCACACCCTACCATGGCTGAAGTTGGATGAAGATGGTGTGATATCGATTTGTGTGGAAATGGCATAAATTCGGTCATTCTGCTTGTTTAGCAATTGTTCAACGTTCAACATCGAATAATTTTTCATCTAAGAGCAAAATCACACCGCGTTGGTTGAATCAAAATCAGCTGCGCTGGTTGAATCGCCTTGGATACTTTTTCTTTTCTTTTTGGCAGCTTCGATGACCCCTTGACATTTGTTCTTTTTGAAAGCTTTCATCTTGAGTCCGCGACAACATCAAGCTTGTCCCATGCTTCAAGGAGCGCTTTCTTTAACGCACAATTCGACGCAAGGAAGGCTCAGAAATTCCCATTTGGTGTGACATGAGCCGGACTGATCGTCTCGGGTTACGGCGCAACCTCTCTCGCACTTTTTTTGATGTTGGACTGAATCACTACAGAACGATTTTCTTCGACCAGCTCTATCCGCATTTGTCCCCAATTCCTTGAAGCGTTTAATCGTCTTGTTCACCAGCCGAGTAGAAAGTTTCAAATTTTGAGAGATTGCACGATCAAGATCAACGATCAACGAGTCAAGATTTGATATAAAAGCACGTCGATGCAACGCTATGCTCGAGTTCGAGAACACTTGACCATCTCTAAAAAAAAAACACTATATAATCTTAGAAATTATATCAAATAACAAGGATAAACATGAAAAAAAAGTAAAAGATCTAAAATGACAACATATAGGTGGCACCAAATGGCTACAAATAAAGCTACAAATAAAGCTGACATCCCCAGGCCCATAATTATCACCAATAATTAAAGAGTGCTCCTAAAAAATCAAATCGTAACTAAAAACAAATCGTTTAAGTCATGTTTGCCTAAAAGTGCTCGTCTCTAAACGCGTTTTCTAAAGCTGCAAAAATTCCTACCTACATTTTCGAAAGTTTTTCTTGTTCTATCTCTATCGAAATTGTTTTTTTTAAAAACAAACAATGGAAGAATATGGTCAATAAAAGGAAAAGACCACGAACTACGTTCCCAGGACAATTTTTTTCTCTATATTTTATTTTTAAAAATTTACCAGACTTAATTGCTATTGTTTAGAAAAAGAAGCTTATTCTAATTTAAATATTTCTAATCTAATTTGCAATAATTAAAGAAAAAGCTACTTTTAAATGATTCCATAGAATTTGGAGAGAAAAAAACAAAAACAAATAACGCTTTAACTTCTATTTTGGGGCTAGACTAATTTCCGCAATAGGGTCATTTGCGCAACTGGGTGCTTTGCGCAACTTGCCATAACTTTTTTCTAAGTTCGTCAATCTTTATGATTTTGATTTCATTTTGTAGATCTCAATAAGTGCAACAAAATGAAATCAAAATCATAAAGATTGGCTCACTTAGAAGAAAGTCCGCAATTTTTTTTCCGCAACAGGGTCATTTGCGCAACTGGGTCGTTTGCGCAACTTGCCATAACTTTTTTCTAAGTCGGTCAATTTTTATGCTTTTGGTGTTATTTTGTTGCACTTATTGAGATCTACAAAAATGAAACCAAAAGCATAAAGATTAACCGACTTAGAAGAAAGTTATGGTGAGTTGCGCAAAAAAAAAATTGCGGAAACTAGCCTACCCCCTGTTTACTCTTCAGTACGGTTCTGTCGGTTCGAGCCTAAGCCTAAGCCAAAGCTAGCCTCACCGGAAAGCCAGCTTTCCTGGCTTCTGGTCTTGCCTAGCTCTGATTAGCCTTGTCTATTTGACTTTTTCTGGATAAGCAGTATGCCAAAAATATTCTCAAAATTATCAAAGAAAGCTGAAAACTTTCAAATTTCTTTATTCAGCTAGGCTTTTATTTTTATTAATGACGCAATTGAGAGAAGCCATAAAAAAGAGGAAAGAGAGTGGAGAAAAACCCAATTAAGCGTCTCATTTTGGGAAAAGAAGGGAAAAGAAGGGAAAAGAAAAGGAAAGGAAAGAAAAGGAAAGAAATGTCAAAACAATGTCTCCAATATAAATGGAACTAAAAGAAATGGATTTATTTTGGGAGAAAAATGCTTGGAAATAAACAAGAAGTGGAGGATGGAGAGGGATAATAACAAGTTTGTCTGCGGCTCTTGATTTGACGTCAAAAGGATCAAAAGATTCGTGGAAATAGTGCTAGGCATCGTTTTTGAAAACTTTTTTCCTTTGTTGTCTTTGGATATCAAATTGAGATACTTTGTGGATCCTTATTTGGCACAACAGAAGCCTTAGAATACTAGATTTCGTGCTTTCACAAGAGTTGGTTGGCTTTATCCGAAAAGTAAACGAGTGGCGGTTCTGTTTGTCCATAAAGTGATGATCATTTTATAGTTAGCTCAGCGCCGAAGCTATTTTAAAATTCAGCTATCTTTTCCAAAAGATCTAAAGAAATAGAAATAGTTTGTTCAAATTCAAAGATCTCTAGTTTAGAAATGCTGCCAATGAAGCGCTGACAAAGTAGTGAGCTGAAATATTGGACTGGACACTGGACTGTTGTAGAGGGGAATTTTTCGGAAACTATGGTAGAATCAGAGTCCACTTCTCTACTATAGGATTAGCCAGGCTTAAGGAAGCCAAACTGCACTAGAGGCTAAACTGCACTAGAGGCCAAACTGCACTAGAGGCCAAACTGCACTAGAGGCCAAACTGTACTAGAGGCCAAACTGCACTATCCAAGTCAAATCGCAAGCAAGCAAGTCGCAAGTAGGTTGATTCCATCGATCGGCTCTGGTTCTTGAGCCAAAAGCCATTTGAGCTTGTGAGTTTTCCACTATTAAGACAGGTGAATCGATAAAAATCAAAAAAAAACCTGTACTAGAAAACTTGAAGTGGACCGACTTCTGAAGATGAGCAAGAGGAATCGAACCCTCGATCTTCTGCTTGACAGGCAGACACTCTGCTAACTAAGCCATGCTTTAATTGTCAGTGAGATTGTCAGCGAAGAAGGCAGAAGATAGGAAGCGAGGTGATTATCAGCCAAGCAATTATCCAAACTGAGATCTAGGTTATCCCAAAAAAACCACAAAGCTAA